AGCAATCAATCAATCGCTAATTGCGACCGAATTAAAGTGGGGGTTGGCTCGAGGTTAGAGTTCGACGTCACTAGGGTATGCGTTAGGGTTCGAGCTCCGCTGGGTTTGCGTTGGGTTTCACAAGATGACAATTGGGTTTGGCTTGACATCGGGGTTCGATGTCGCCGAGTTGGGGTTCGCCTCGAGTTCGTCGAGGTTGAGGTCAGGGTTGAGATTCGAAGTTGCTTGGGTTTTGATTGGGTGTTTTGGTCACTCGGATTTGAGATTCAAGGTCACCGGGTTGGATTTCAAGCTTGAGGTCGGGTCATGCATGTCGGGTTAAAGATCTTCGAAGCTGAATAGAAGGGTGGAGGATTGGGGTTGGAGAGACGAAGGTGATTAAGCTCGAACAATGGTGGATAGTCACTGGTACAAGGTCACAAAGAGGGAGTGAAATTGTGAGCAGGAAGGTGAATTTGGGAGGGCTGTCAGCATGAAGAACACAAAATTTTGGAGGATTATCAGTGCGAAGAAGATGAAAGTTGGGAGGGTAACAGAGAGGGAGTGAAAATTAGATACTAATTAGAATAATTACAAAAATTAAATTAAATAATAAAAAAGTAAATTAAATAATTAAGTGGCTGAAATAGTAACCGATTTATTGTGACCGAAAATTTAGTTACTATTTCAGTTACTAAATTAAAAAATAATAATTTGGTTATTGATTCAGTCACTAATAGTAACTAACTTTTTCAATCACTGATTTCTGATTACTATTTGACATTTTTCTAGTAGTGACCTGTCACCTCTATCTTATCTATAGAGAATATCTATTCAATGAATTCATTTTAACTCAAATTTTAAGTTATACTACTATAGCATTAAATAATTTAGGAATGTATTTTTTATTATTCCTTTCATTAAATGAATGTTAACATCCTTCACAAGTAGTGTAGGAATAATTAATTAATGGGGTAGAATTTTACAAAAGAATGTAGGTATTTTAAAGTTACAAAACTTTGGTGGAGACACATGTTTTCAAACTTCCAATATACAGATAAAATAATGTTTGTTATTTCTTCATGACTAGTTTAGAAACAACTAATTTGTGAAAAAATTACAACATCACGATAATTATAAAGAAGCTTGAGTTATATATTGTGTTTAACGAATGTTTTTTTTTTTTTTATGTTTATAATTAGTGAATTCTTACCATTACATTTATTGACATCTAGAAATCTTACCTTCACACAAAAAGTAAAAAAATATCTTAGAATTAAAATTTTGACATAACTTAAAAAAACAACTTATTAGAGGAGAGTTAATTTCCACTTTATTATTGTTACCAATAATGATGATGATGGTCACCGTATCACTCATATATAAGTCACCATGTCACTTATATAATATCTGCATGTTATTTGATAAGTTTAATAACTAGCATATACTCTTTCGTTTTGGTCCAAATAAAATTCTAAAAAGTGGATCATAAACGTTGGTGAGAATTATAGTAAGTTATATAAACTATTTTATATTATATCACTAATTTATAAAAGATACATGATGGTTATAGGATGGACCCAAACAAATATTAAAAGAATGAAAATCAAGTGACTTAAGACTTGTATAGAATGATGTCAGAATACAAACTACCTAATAATATGATGTAGTGGACCTAAATAGGCTCAAAAGAATGAAAATCTAGTGGTTGGTTTAAGAATTGTATAGGATTGATGATCTTAGAATATTAAAAAAATATTTTATTTATATTTTTATTGCTTAAAGTAAGATGACGACATTTACAATGTCATTAATTATTCCAATGTTGATATATTTTAGATTATATAAGTAATATTATTTCTGATCTATTATCATGAATGAAGAATATAAATAATTATCTTTTAACTTCTCTTTAATAATAAAGAATATTTTAGTGATAGTTTTTCTTAGTAGCTTAGCTTTTGCTTTCTATCAATAAACTACTGTAGAATACCTGAATACTACCATTAAAATTATAAAAAAGATAAACATAAACATTGATATTCTTCCATGATGATAATGGACAAAAAGGAATATACTTATATAACCTAATATATACAACTAAATAATATAATCGTTTTACTTTAAAGAATATAATATAAACTAAACGATATTATAATATTATTTTTAACATTCTAAAACCATCCTATAAAATCCTTAACCCACTTTATTTTCATTTTTAAGAACCTCTTTAGACCCATCAATGGGTATAAATCCCCAGTAAACTTGTCACATGGAAATCGATATAAATAAGTACTAGTACAACCAACCGGTAACAGCTCAAACGTAACGCATCATTCTAGCAAAAGTATTTAATCGTACCAAGTAAGCTTCATTTATGGTGTGTGACAATGGAATACATGTTATCAGCCCAAGCATTATTTGATGCTTCCAACTATTATAAAACTATGATTCACGCTAGTTTAAATGTATAGATATTCCAGAAAAATGTTGAAAATACAAGCAACCACAAGCATGAAAGAATGAATTACATGTAATTTAGACTCAAATTATTTTTACAAGAATGTCCAATAGCTATCGATAGTACGCCATGTGCCTGGATGAAAAGAATGGAGAACTAGCAAATGTCTGTTGGACAGGGTTCTTCTTTACAACCTTTGTTTCAGCACGGAGCCAAGCCTCAACAACAGACAGCAGATTAGTTGAGGATTTCAACTCATCGACATCTGATAATTTTTCTGCTCTTCTCAGTTCACCATCTTGTATGTATGCCAGATGAGTTGCCCATGTCTCTAGTCCATCAAAAATATGAGTTGCATATACGATTGTAGCTTCTCTCTGCAAAAAAGAAGAAGAAGAAGAAAAAGACAAGAAACCGTAAGAGTATAATCATTGTTTTTGAACCCAAGATTCCAGCCTTTGCAAGATGGGCATTTATCAAAGTATCACCTTTTCGTAAGAGAAAATAATTTATCAAGGCATTATATTTTCCATGATTGCGCAGACAAATTGGGGCATATTTCGACCCTAGTAGAAATTGAAGATCAAATTCATATTATTATAGTTTAATATGATTATCATTTCAATAAGGACCAGCTATCCTGTAATGCCACAATGCGGCCACATTCGTTACATTTTCATATTTCCATATCTAGAATGGTTCAGCAGGTATATAGACAGCGCATGCAGATACCTGTTCACATTCTTCCCTAAAGAAGTCCAATAAATCCATCCGAGTAACAACATCCAGATCAACAGTGACCTCATCAAGTAAGAGAACCTGAAGTGCCAATCAAGGATTCCAGTTATATAATTCTGTTTGATTTGACCTGTTGAAGTACATGGATAGAAAAAATAATACCTTATATGGATAAAGAAGACCAAGACAGATTTGCACTCGACGCCGCTGCCCATCAGATACCTTATGCATTCGCCACTGCAGATCGATATCAAGCAGCTCAATTAACTTGTCTCTCCTATCAGGATCAGCACCCTCAACTGATAAAAGTAGAAAACACCATAGTTCTATTACACAGCAAGACCACAGAACAATTGTATTTGAATTGCTAATTATTATATATTAGAAACTCTAGTGCAACATTACAGAAGCCAGATGCAGACATGACATGGTGATTAGCTTTTCTCTTGATATTTACAAATAATACAAATGATTTTGGCAAGAAAGACAACTCCATCCAAAAACCCACCTCCAAAGATCATATGTTCAGCAGAGAAGTCTCCTTGAAGCGGAATTTCCCCCTGAATATATTAGCAACTACATCAATGCTGGAAATGAATTTAATCAAAGCATACACAAAAACAGGTTATTAATTGGGCTTAGGGTAGAGATTTAGGTTCAATTGCCTCTGTATCCGCACCAACCAAAGTTATATGAAAAAAAAAAAAAAAACAGTAACACAACTATTGTGTCAAAAGAAAACTATTAGAGAACTGGGGCCATGAAGTGGGTTACTGTAAATCGTTATTCATGATCATCAAGATCTTGTAGGACCAAGAGCACACGTAATGGACCAGGTTGACAGCACAAGGCGCTTTGGAAGAAATCTAACTGTAGTTATTAGTTCTGGCTAAGAGTACACAAAGGCTGTGTATCTAATCTATACTACAACAGGAACAGGATACCCCAACTTGGTCTTATAATATTAAATTCACTAGAACCGCGAAATCGAATGCTTTCCTTAAGGGAAAATTAAAAGTGATGAGAAAAATAATCGATTCAAATTAACAACAAAGGCCTATGATATACTCAAGCTTCCTAATTTTAAGGAACATACATAAAACAGATAAAAGCTACGGGTGAGCTTTGGTCACAAGATTATATTTTTCTTAATTCCCACATTACCATTTACAAGTACCTATTCTAGTACATGAATTAAAAAACCACCCTACTTACACCTTATTATTATAGATAAACAACATGATAGAAGAGAGGAAAGTAAAACCTATTTATTCTCACACCAAACTTACTACATTAGTATACCATTAAAAATAATCACCAAGAAGGAAACTTGACACTGGCTTCAAACAAAATTGAAAATAGACGAGTATTAGCAGCACAGTCTCTGATAGATGTCTTTTTACACACTCTGCAATTGGTTAATAGTAAAATATATTGAAAATTACAAAATCAAGAAAAAAAATCCTTGAGCGAAAAGTGAAACTCACAGAACTGCTATTTCTAATAAATTTTATCAAATAATTGAGGGTACATTCAAAAGAGTGTATAGAGAGTGAAACTCAAAAAATTGTGAATTTATACTAAATTTCAGCTAATAATGAAAAGTGCACTCAAAAGGAGTGTATAGAATGTGTGTTGCTAGCATCTCTATTGAAAGTATCATCCATAGCAAAAAGGCAAACACTGGTTCACAGCGTGCAAACCTTGTCAGTAGCTCACAAGATAGACAAGAAATCCGTCCACACAGACACAAAGAAATTACAGTAGGCAATTAAAAGCTCCAACATAAAACTCGAAGACTATCCCAAATGTAGTTTCTCCATTAAACAATCGAAACAGACTAGCACAAAATTATGGTTGACACGGCATTGTGCTCTAAGATGATTATATCTGGAAGTGAACGAATAGTCTTTAACAAACTGTCAACGCGCGAAAAATGGAAAGTTTACCCTAATCCATAACCACATCGAGAAATCATGAAGAGAAATAATATAACAATAATAGATTAAAAAAAAAAAAAACTCACAGCGGAGCCAACGTTTTTGCTCCAGGATCCGCCCAAATAAGCGAGATCTCCACTACAAACGAGTTGAGTATCGTGAAAAGCGGAACCATTCAACACGCGCACGACGTCTCTTCCTCCAACCATATGCTTCCCCGCCAGAATCTTCAGCAACGTCGTCTTACCTGCACAGACGCGATTAACAAGCTGAAATTCACGCATGTGTAACGAATAATAATAACAGTAACAATGAATGCGAAACTGAACCGTTAGATTACCAGATCCGTTGGCACCGACGAGGAGACACCGCGATCCGGGCGCAACGTTGAGGTCGAAGTCGAGAAAGAGAGGCGGTTGTTGCACGTCGTAGGAGAATTGCATCCCCCGGACGCGAATTCCAAGGGAATCTTCTTCTGCTGTCGCCATTGTTGTAGCCTATGAGCGAGTGCAACAGCCATTGGAAAGAGAAACTATTCATATTCTCTTGGGTTCCAATTCGGAGCCAATAGAAAAGCTACACGTCATCAGTGCCTGCGGTTGTTGAAACGAACCAACGTGTGAAGAGAAGACAAACACGTCGCCACTTCCACCCACCGTTTTTCGGTGCTTAATGGAACAACGCAAAATGCACGGTGTTTCATCGAGCCCAACCGGTGTATTTCCGACGAGACTATTAATTCTAATTTTAGTTTATTTATTTCATAAAATCCGTAATTATATAATAATATCTACTTAATTTTTAATTATTTATAATTTGAATTTAAAAACTTTTTCAATTAATAATAAATTTCTAATTATCTGTAAGTTTATTCAATTATAGATTTTCTAAATTACAACTAATCTATAATAAAATAATAGTTATACTTTTAATTTCTTATTATATAATCCGATTTTGTTATCTTAACAACTTTTTTATTAAAAATTATTGAGTTAAAAATGATTACAATTCAAGCTGGTTTTTTCTATTGAAATATTTGAATATATAATATCGATTAGTCATATTTTAAATAAAATAAATTTTACAGAAATGTCTGATTATTATAAACCCAACTCTTTGAAAATATAATTGTTTTAAATGCTTATTAGAAAAAAAGAGAGTCAAACAGAGTAATTAAAAATCAAAACAACAGATCTTATCTTATCAATAAAAATAGTTGGTCATACATTTTAATAACATTCAATGGTTTAAAGTCAAATATATTTAAATTAATTTATCAAGCTTAAGAAAAAACTTGATATAATTAAAAATTAAAAATTAATTTACATTAGACACTTTATCAAAATACGAACACTAGCAACACACTTTTGTTAACTTATTCTTATTGTTTATTAATAAATACTATAAAATTAAGTGAGAGATTCATTAAATACAACGTAATATAATTTGTTAATAATAAAATATATTAGGGAATGTATTACTAACACCGGAAGGAAAGTTCCACAAAACTGATAAAATTTATCAGTAAAATGGTTAATTAACGGGTTCTCTTTATATAATATGTTTTATGGATAGAAAAACTCTTCAAATTTTTGAAAAATATCTTATCCCTCACTTTTTTTTTAATGTTTATATTTTTTTGGGTACAAGTATTTAATTTTATTTAAACTAGTATCATAAAAAAAAATCATTAGCATTTGACCAAAAGATAAAGGAAAATAAAAACTTTTTTTTTCTTTAATTATTAACACAAAGTATTGGGCATGAAGTAAGGGTTTCAAAGAGAGAGAGAGGGTTTAGACTTGTCAAAGAGTTGTTATATGAATTTTGATTAAACAACGCTAGTTTAATCTTGCGCAAGAAGCAAGAAGACGACGATTCATTCCTTGCGTTTAAGACGTGGCATCACCACTGTGTGAAAAACAGAAGGGGTGAAACCGAATCAAAACGATGGGAATGGAAGTAGCTTCATTTATTTGAATCGAAATCGTCGAACAGAAATTGAATGCCGTTGAGTTACGGTGAAAATGATCAACGTTTTCTGTTTTGGCGGCTAGGTTTAGAGTACCGCCACATAATGATAGCCGCGAGAAGTCGATAACGTTTTCACAATTCAATGGAGGAAGAAGAGGATCAAATTTTGCTCTCTAGTTTGGGCGTGAAGTCTGCCAATCCCGAAGACATTGAACGCGATGTGTTGGAAAAGGTATATATCATCAATTTCTGCCGCTTCACTTTTTGTTATTATTATTTGTTTTCTGCATTCCTGGTCGAGTTTTACTGATTCTATTTTCTTTGAAATTTATGTGAAAGTTTAATTTAGAACTCGGTGTTGAAATGAATAAGGATAGTGATGTTCACTTGAAACAAAACCATAAGATTTTGACGGTAGATGATGTTTAATTTGTAGGCTACTAGGAATGATTCAGTGACAGGTACTGAAGTTGAAGGTAGTGCCAAGGAAGAATGTTCTGATTTGCCTGAAGATGTTGATCCATCAGCTAATGCTAAAGCTGAACTTCACCACAAGTTGAGAGCTGTACTATTCGAAATTGATGCAGTTGCCTCCACCGTTGAGCAGTTGAGAAATGTGGAAAATAATGAAGAATGTAGTGGTGCTGGTGAGGACGGATTGGTGTCAGGGATTGCTGAGGGCGATTCCTCTGACAAGTCAAATCTTCAGTGTGTTCTTGCTGCCGATAGACTGAGGAGTCTGAAGAAGACGAAAGCTCAACTAGAAAAAGAGCTTTTGAATTTGTCTAAGGATGATGCTTCCAAAAGTGTTGAGGATGAACAATTGATCTTTAGTTTAGTTAGGGAAGAGCGGAAGCCAAAGAGGAAGGTTACAGAAGATAAAAAATCAAATAAAAGCAAGGGAAAGCGAGTTAAGAAGGTTTCCTTTGATGATGATGTTGATTTTGATACTGTTCTGGATGCAGCCTCTGCAGGCTTTGTTGAAACAGTGAGTTTTACTTTTTAATAATTAGAATTTTTTGTCCTGGTTTTTGTTAGTATTTTTTTTTTCCTTAAATAGTTGATGGAGTTAGAAGTAGAGAACTCATTTTCAATGAAGTGCTAAGAGTGTACCAAAGCTTAAGGATATAATAATTGGTGGAGGTAGAAATACAGAACTCATTTTCTACTACTTATGATTTAGGAAAGGGATGAACTGGTGAGGAAAGGAATTTTAACCCCTTTTCATAAGTTAAAGGGCTTTGAGCGACGTTATCAACAACCAGAAACATCAACTAGTCATAATGCAGCTGAGGAAGAAAATGCTGGTGATCTTGCTGCTGCCAGTGTTGAAAGAGCTGCGAAGTCCATGTATGAGGCAGCAAGATCTCGCCCAACCACTAAGCTGCTTGAGCCTGAAGATGCACCAAAGCTTGATGCACCCACTTTTCCATTTCGAAGGCTCAAGAAACCACTACAATGTTCCAAACCTCTAGATAGAGAGGTGGAGCTGAATAAAGATTCAAAAAGGAAAAAGAGGCGGCCTCTGCCTGGTAGGAAATGGACCAAGCGTGTTTCGTGTGAGGACACACGTATGGAAGAAAGTGGTATGTTTAAAATGTAATGTTCTCATTGCAAAATTGGATCAAATTCTTATTTACCTGGGCAACAGGAGAAAGATAAAAAAGAATATGAAAAAATAAGTCCATTAAGTTCCTTATCTATAGTAATCAAATCGCAGGTCTCATGATATATTCAAATTCTCAAGAGGAGCTAAAACATATTGTGATTTTACATATAACTTCATATTAAGTTTTGACAATGTCTTCGTTAGAGATGCCAATATGGAATCATTAAACAAGTTGCATTTGGTTATATTTTAAAAATTTAACATGAATATATCTTTTGCAAAAATTTTATTTGCTATCAGCATTTAATTATATGCAAATGGTGATGTGTCTCTTTTTTTGGCTGTTTCTTTGTTTTTCGTGTTATGTGTTTGTTGCTTGCAATTTTAAAATGCCAGTTTTTCAATCTGAATTTTTTGAGTGTCTGTGCATGAATAGGTAAATTATGTGTTTGATAATGAATTATTCATTTACTTATGCATCCAGCTTTTTCCCAGATCAATATTCCCTTTCTGAAAGATTCTGAAATGAAATGAAATTCTGATGAAATAAAGGATTTGCATTGGCCATCTGTTCATTTGAGGAAATGTTTGCTATGTATCATAAACTGATTTCACTTTATTTCACTCCTTTAGAATTTTTGGTTTGCAATAGTTTTATATATACCTCTAACATTTATTCAATTCATTGATTTTCTTTTTCTGCAGAAAACGCAGATGGCTGCTTGGATGCTCCCAGTTTTGAAAATTTAGAAGAACAAGACATTGAGCTTGATGATCATGAACCTTATGTAACATTAGAAGGTGGGCTGAAAATTCCTGATAAGATATTTGACGCTCTGTTTGACTATCAAAAGGTTGGTGTTCAGTGGCTGTGGGAATTGCATTGCCAAAGAGCTGGTGGAATTATTGGTGATGAGATGGGACTTGGTAAAACTGTCCAGGTCTTATCGTTTCTTGGTGCATTGCACTTTAGTGGTATGTACAAACCCAGCATTATTGTGTGCCCAGTTACACTCTTGCGACAGTGGAAAAGGGAAGCTAACAAGTGGTATCCAAAATTCCATGTAGAGCTTTTACATGATTCGGCTCAAGATTCTGTTCCTAGAAAGAAGCGAGCTAAATCTGAAGAAACAGACTGTGAAAGCAATAGTTCAAGTGACAATGATTATGAGAAATGTGTGCCATCTAGAAACACAAGAAAATGGGAATCCCTGATAAATCGTGTCATGAGATCGGAATCCGGATTACTTATCACCACTTATGAGCAGCTCAGAATATTGGGGGATCAGTTGCTTGACATTGAATGGGGTTATGCAGTTCTTGATGAAGGGCATAAAATAAGGAATCCAAATGCTGAAGTTACCCTGGTTTGCAAGCAGCTACAAACTGTACATCGCATCATAATGACTGGTGCACCTATTCAGAACAAACTGACTGAACTGTGGTCATTGTTTGATTTTGTTTTTCCTGGAAAGTTGGGTGTTTTGCCTATATTTGAAGCGGAATTTGCAGTTCCTATAGCAGTTGGTGGATACGCAAATGCTTCACCTTTGCAAGTATCCACAGCATACAGGTGATTTTTTCTTTTTGTTAGGCCAAAGAGTAAATTTTAAGAAGGTTATGTTAAAAATTTGGTCTTGGTCCCTACCATTAATCAAAGTTTGAAAAGTGTTAAATGTTAGTTAAGTTGAACCCATACTGCCATCTCAGACAATGTGTAACACTGATTTAATTTGGTTAACAATAACAGGGACCCATTCATAAACGTTTTTTTTTATATAACAGCTAGAAGTTAGAGGTTCATTTTTTATTTTTTTATAATGAAGGGACCAAAATAAAAATGGTTTCAAATATCTAGACCACATGATTAATTTAACCATTAAAACAAATCTTTGACTGGTGGAATTTTCCTGGCCGACTATTGAATTCCATAACCAATTTTAACAACAGTGCCAGTAGGGAAAATGATAGATTTATGAGTGTACCATAATACACCCAGTTGAAATTTGAGGGTAAATAAGGTCAAGGTGGCCAGTTTTGGTATCCTTTTTATTATCATTTGAAGGTTGACCAAGGTTTTATGAAGTGGAGAAGAACAATTCGAAAATTCATTTCAAAAATAGTATTTCATGACACCTTAGTTTGGTCCATACATGGTTAACATATTGATGCCTTTTGTTACTAAACTAGAAATGTTTTTTCCAGGAATTTCTAAATTGCAATTCTTCAAACATAAAATTGAAGGGATTATATTGTTGGAACAGGTTACAACAGGTTACTAATCCTGATCCTTAGATGTAGTGGGAAAATAAAGCAAAAGAAGACTGTTGATGAATTTTTTAATTAGATTGTTGGCATATTTCGTCTAGGGATGTTGAGCTAAATAGCTTTGTTGAAGGTAAGCCTCAAATACCAAATAATATTAATTACTTGTCATTTTATAGGTGTGCTGTGGTGCTACGTGATTTAATCATGCCTTATCTTCTCCGAAGAATGAAGGCTGATGTGAATGCCCAACTTCCAAAGAAGACTGAGCATGTTCTATTTTGCAGCCTTGCACCAGAGCAAGTATCTGCTTATAGAGCATTTTTAGCTAGCACTGATGTAGAGCAAATATTGGATGGACACAGGAATTCTCTTTATGGTATTGATGTCATGCGCAAGATCTGCAACCACCCTGATCTACTTGAAAGGGATCATGCCTTCAGTGATCCAGATTATGGAAATCCGGAGCGTAGTGGGAAAATGAAAGTTGTAGCTCAAGTTCTTAATGTTTGGAAGGAACAGGGTCACCGAGTTCTCCTTTTTACTCAAACCCAACAAATGCTTGACATTTTTGAGAATATTTTGACAACTTCTGGTCACATTTATCGGAGAATGGATGGTCTCACTCCTGTAAAACAGAGAATGGCCTTAATAGATGAATTTAATGCTTCAAGTGAAATATTTATTTTCATTTTAACAACCAAAGTTGGGGGTTTGGGGACCAATCTTACAGGTGCAGACAGGGTGATCATCTTTGACCCTGACTGGAATCCCTCAAATGATATGCAGGTAAGTTTGAAACTTCCCTTCCACCATGTTCACTTAGCCAGTTGATTATAAATCATGTAAAGACAACAAAAGTTTCGGTTAGATATTTTTACGGCAAGGGGATTGAAATAGTATGGGGTAGAAAAGTCAGGACTGAAGAGCGTATAGGGGGAGGAAGGCATACAGTGGATTCTTGAGTGAACTTTTTCCATTCCCATCCTTAACCATCTATCTATACAAACTTTAATAGTTTTTGGAGTAAATCGTGTCTAACATTCGTGTTTGTGAGATTGTTTCTGTTTTTTCATTTATCATGCAGGATATTGTTCTGGTTTCAAATTTAAATTCTAAAATGTTTATTAATAAGATACTTGTTTCGTTTAACAGGCCAGAGAGCGAGCTTGGCGTATTGGTCAGAAGCGGGATGTAACAGTGTATAGGTTGATAACACGTGGAACTATAGAGGAGAAAGTTTATCACCGTCAGATTTACAAACACTTTCTTACGAATAAGATATTGAAGAACCCACAGCAGAAAAGGTTCTTTAAAGCCCGGGATATGAAAGATCTTTTCACGCTTAATGTGGATGGAGAAACTGGGTCAACTGAAACATCAAATATTTTTGGTCAAATATCTGAAGAAGTAAATGTCATTGGGACACAGAAAGGAAATAAGGATAAGTATAAACATAGCCAAACTGCCAAACTGGATTCTGAAGATGTTGCGGTTAGTAATGATGACAAGTCAGAGAGAGGATCTTTGGAAGGAAAAGGGAAAGAGAAGGTTGAACACAATAATGGGGTTGATGATGAAACAAATATATTGAAAAGTCTTTTTGATGCCAATGGGATACATGTAAGTTTATCATCCTTCATTATGTTTATTTGACTAATTCTGGAAAAACTGCACCTTGTTGCATTAGTAAATATTCAAGAATTTAGATAATCATGAACGAAGCAAGCATATTATGTGTTAATTTTGTACAATAATTACATTTACCATGCTCTGAGCCTCAGGCAACATTAGAATGTGATATTGCCACATTGGCCTATTTCTTGTTATAGAGTGATGCCTTGTACCTTCTAGTACTTCATTTCTATGTGTTTCCTTTGTAATAAACTCATTCTATGATTGCAGAGTGCCATGAACCATGATTTAATCATGAATGCCCAAGATGAGGAGAAGATGAGACTTGAGGAGCAAGCATCCCAGGTTGCACAAAGAGCTGCAGAAGCATTACGTCAGTCACGAATTCTCAGAAGCCATGATAGTGTATCTGTTCCCACATGGACAGGAAGGTCAGGAACTGCTGGTGCACCATCATCTGTAAGGCGGAAGTTTGGTTCAACTGTAAATGCGCAGTTGGTAAATAAAAGCAAGGTATCTGATGAATTACCCAGCAAGGGAACTACCAAGTTAAATGGATTCGCTGCTGGTGCATCTGCTGGGGCATCTGCTGGTAAAGCATTATCTTCTGTCGAACTATTGGCTCAAATTCGAGGTAAACAAGAGAAAGCCATTGGTGCTGGGCTTGAACATCAGTCTGGTATATTGTCAAGTTCCACGAATCAAGCAAGATCTGTAGATGTTAGATCTTCCCAGGTTACCGCAAGTTCATCTGGATTACAACCTGAAGTATTGATTCGGCAAATCTGTACTTTTATACAACAGCGAGGGGGTAGTTCTGATTCAGCTAGCATAGTTCAATATTTCAAGGAACGTATTCCCTCAAAAGATCTTGCCTTGTTCAAGAATCTGTTAAAGGAAATTGCGACTCTGCATAAAGGATCAAATGGATCCTATTGGGTTCTAAAACCAGACTATCAATTCTGATACCAATAGGAGTAAATTATTTGCCAATTTTCAGTTCCGACTGCACAGTGGTGGCCATTCAAGTCGATGGAATTTCATTTGATAGTTTGATCTGAACAGTAGACTCTGAAGCATGCTTTGTTGTGCTGTCAAGGTTTATTTTTTGTTCTGATCTTAGTTTTTGTGGGATACAGTCGACAACTCATTGTTGGGTTCTTAGATCAATTTTGTATACAGAAAAAGGACAAATAGGTTCACAGGCGCCTCATCGGTGTGCAGTAAATAGTAGTTTTTGGAAAACCCCATTATTTTTATTTTTATTCAATTTGTTCTCCAAGCAAAGAAAGTATGCGGAGACAATTCCTTTAGTCTCAACTATTCCTTTTAATCTTAACTATTCGTTTCGTAATAACTACCTATTCTCACGTGTAATTCCTTGCAGATGTATTTCCTGTTTCAAAAGGCTATTTGTTTCCACGAGTGTTTATGGAGAATAGTTTTTCTCCCAAACATCTAACTGTCTCCCAAACTACTTTTACATTCTCCTAAATTACTAACAACTATATTTATTCCGAATGATAGTTAAGTTTAAAGATAAATGTATTTTTGAAATATTAGCATTAAATAAGGTTTAGAAAATAAATTTGCTTATTTTTTTTTTCTTAGATAGAGAGAACAATATATTAGATTTTAGGTTAAATTATGATCTTTTTTTCCTTATTTATTTATGAAATTTAATTTGGTTATTCTATTTATAAATGGATCAATTTTTTTTTCATTTTTTTTTTAAATTCAGCGTAACCCTTTCTGCTTAAATTAAGTACACATTGGAATGAAAGATCAAAGTTATGTTTTATCGGTCCTTGTATTTTTATCTAGTTTAATTTATTCTCTTAATTTTCTAAAATGCGTGACCTTTTTCGTCTACACCTATTGATAACTACAAAATGGTCACTATGATAAGTTACTATTTTTTCTATATTACATTTTTTAAATTAAAAAACTATAACTTTAAAAAATTAAAATTAAGAATTTCACTGGTGTTGACGTTGTTAATTTTTTATATTAAATATCCCAAACTAAGCAATTTATATTTTTATAGACTTTGTATTAATTATTTTTTTAGTTTCAATAAAAATTTGCTTTAAATTTACACAAATTTGCTTTAAATTTACACAGATTTGCTTTAAACTAAGCATTTTTTGTTTGTTTGTTTTAGTCTCCTGAGTGTTTATAAAAAAATTTATTCAATCATTTTCTACATTTGAATTTATAGTCCTAAAAAATTGTAATGTCAAGTTCGACGTTCTGGAATTTATAAGTTAGAGCAATCGTCCAAGTAAAGAGCTACATGGGCACAAATCTGTTAAAATGGATACTTATAAGCAACACAATAACAGCTTCATATATATATACCTATTTCAAGCATTTGGTATTTTGTTGACTGATGATACATCATGACATTCGTAACACAACCTTCAACATAAAATCAGAAGCACACCGAAGTCAAGAAAGATTCTTTTGGCGTAGCGATAGGGGGGGTAATTCTTTTTATAGAGATATGAGAAAACTGTTGTTACAACAAAGAAAAACATAAATATTTCCAGGATATTCTCAAGAGATCGATTTACTTGGTACTTTGCGCTAATTTCACTTATGACACCTCTTTCTGCACAGGTTCTTCCACTGTTGCTTTTCTCAATATAAAGAACCAAAAAAATCAGAGAATAATAAAAGCCTCATTGTTAAAATGCTCATATATGTAATCAGAAGGCTGCCCATCCTGAAGCTCCCGAGGTGTTCGTTGAGGGAAGATTTTTCTGTAAATGCAAACAACCAAAGAGATGTGAATGTTACTCATAACATAGAAAACCTCTTGGCTACACTGGGATGCTCCAGAATATAACCCAGAAACTGCTTGCTTTTCAAATCTAAATTGATGACCCGGACCTAAAACTAAAAAATAAACAAATAAACCAGGATTGTGCTATACAGAAATGCAGTTAGTATTCCATATTTCTTGGCAGAATTAACTAAAGGCAGTAGCACCCTTATGCGGTTATGCCTTGTGAACAAGGGACCTATAACTTCAGATTTGCAGATACAATATGAAGAATACAAAAATTAAGCTGATCAATCCTATTAAAATTAGATATATAAAGCATAGAATCACCACAATCAGATCTCATCTGAACAATCTTAAACAATCTATAGGAAATTATGTTGCTATTTGGTCAATGCAATAACTATAAAGCCTAAAATTCTCAATTACATGAAACAGATAACATTCAAAAAGAAAAATATCAAGAGGACGAGCTACTGGCCAGCCATACCTGTAGTTGAGAAAGATCTGACAAAGAATCAGTAGAATGTTTCACACTTTCATATGTCCCTTTAGCACCAGTAATACGACCGGTGGAAGCAATTCGAGCTGCAACAGGATCATTTGGTGGGGGTGGAAGAGGAGACCTGATTTTCCCAGTCCCACTCGGTGGGGGAGCAAGGCTCAAGGTTTTTGGCTTTGGTGTTGCAGCATGCCCACCTGTTAGGCCAGCAGCTGAAAGCATGCCAGTCCCACCAGATACCTTGTGCTTCACATTAATCCTAATGGTTTCCCCATCCTACAGACCAAATAACATACACAGCCTTGAGAACACAGGAAGAGTCATGATCCACAGGGTAAGGAAAGCACAATGTTAAGATAAGAGACAATAAATTCATCAAAATTTTGAAGAATTGCGAACTAGAAACACACCTAGAAACTGCTCTAAAAATCACATTTGACCAAAGCAAAGTAAGGTCGTATTTTGATAAACTTATTCATAAACATGTACATCAGAAAAAAATAAAAACATAAAATGCCTTCAGCTTTTTCATAAGCTAAAATCAACTGAAGCATTGTAGCCTTTTGAAGAAGTTAAACGAAAAGAAATTCTATGAAAAAGAAGAGCATACATTGATTTAAGCTAATGTCACAAGATCAAATAATTCTAGTTTCTGTAAATTAATCCAAACTGACCCTAATTGTTCATCACAACAAAAAAAGCATACAGTATATATACCAAAAATATAAGCACAGCTCAAGCATCACATCAGTGATCCACTCAACCACAACATTGAATCATGCTTCATTCACTCAAGCTCAACAAGTAGACCAATTAAAATCACATCTCATTTATCCATCTCAAAATAAACTAATTCATCATTCCTAATAATGCTGATGATGAACATGATCGTGAATCACAGTTCAATCACTGAATCGAAAAAGGTAGACTGCAGAAATTGTGAATGACATACCTTAAGTCTGTGATTGACGGCGGGGTGAATGTCGATCTGAGACTCTTCGGCGGCGGCGGAGTCGCCTGATTCCTTCTCGTGCTCGCGGCGGACGTACTTCTCGTGATCGGAGAGCGCGACGTTGAAGTCGAAGGCCTCGTTCCTCTCGTTGAACCCTAGCCCGATGAAGGCGTGCTTGCCGCGACCGTCCTCGATCTTAAGGACGAAGTAGCGCGACGAGTCGAGGACGGGCTCCACCGCGCTCTCGCGCTGGCCAGGGTACACGAAGCACGCGGCGAAGAGATCGCCGGAGTTCGGATCCTCAAGGCGAATCTCGCATCGGTCCCGACGAGACACAACTCGGATCCGCCCCGACCATATCTTATCGGACTGGAGCCACTCGCCGCACTTGTAGCCGCCGGAGGTGGTGCGCGGCGGGATCTTGTAGACGGAGACCTCCCGCACCACGAGAAGCGTGTGCTCGAAGGCCTCCTCCTCCTCCACCTCGAACGACATCTTCGTGGAGGGAATTCGATTGGAGTTTGCGTTTGAGTTTGAGAGGAATTTAACGTGAATTTTAGTTTGCGATTTTGATGAAGGAATGAGAGTGCGGTGTTGTGTCCGTGTCTCGCAAGGTCAACTGTTTTGGGGAGATGCACTATCCTAATCTCCTTTCTTCCTTCTTCCTATTTCCAACGTACCTTCTTTCTTTTTCCTTTCTTACTCTTCCATCCATCTATTCCTTTCTCTTAAGCCAGCACAATTTGTTAAATTATTAATCAGTATTTCCTTTTTTTATAATATTGTAAAATAGTGTGGTAAATTTTGAATTTTGAGAAATGAGAAATCCCAGTGGGATTGAATTTGATATTGTATGGTGCTTAGTGGCATTCATTCATCATCGCAAGCACGAAAAGGACAGCACAGAATGGAAATATTTGTTTTATCTGACGTGGGATCACGTTTTAGTTCACCTTCTTAACTCGTTTTGCTCAGAATATGACTATTTAAAATGGTAATATTCTTTTATTTTAAATAAAATTATTGCAAAAAAACTTTATCTAAACAAAATTAACTTTCCGATTACTTTAAGATATGGTATAAAGGTTAACCGCTTCTAACACGAATGAGCCACCACAATTGTAGTTTCATGGCTAAAACATTTTAGAAACGAATATCATACTTTGACAACAGGAAAACAAATATCCGTTCGATAACTGGGACAAAAAAGAATTTAATTAAAAATAAGGGTTTGATTAGTAAAATTGTAGGGGGTCAGAGATGTAATATTGTAAAAATGGGGGATGTTATGGTAAAGAGTGAAATATATGTTTGAAGAAGGTACAGTATTTTTCGCTTGACACATTCTCGTTCGACCTTGCTGGACTTCCTCTCGCTCGACTTAAGGTAAATTTTCGCTTGTCTTCTCCGTCTCGCTCTTCACGGCGCTCGACTTCCTGTCGCTTGTCTTCCTCCGTGTCGTTGGAGCTGAACATCACTGTCAGTCGCTTGAGCGACCGTGCGGTGAGTGTTCGTTTAACAACATTTGCTTGATTTTGTCTGTATTTTTTATTGGGTTTCCATTGTTGTTTGTTGTTCTGCAACTTATCTTTGATTGAGTTTGTAATGAAGATGTTTTTCACGGTTTATGGTTAATTGAGTTGTGATGCTATATTAATGTCGAACAAGTGTTTGATGAAATGCTATAATGAAGAATTGTATTTGCGCATTCTTGCTTTGTTTTCTGTTTATGTTTGATTGGGTTTGTAATGAAAGTATTCGGTAGGGTTTAGGGTTAATTGAGTTGTGATGCTATATTAATGTCCAACAAGTGTTTGATGAAATGCTACAATGAAGAATTGTATTTGCATGACAAACATTTTGTATAATATGCACAAGATTTACACCCACGTTTGCATAATTCACAATTTGACCAAAATTATGTGTAACATGGTTGGACTTAATTTTTTTTTTTTACTATTTTGTCATTGTAAGTTACAATTTTAATAATTTATAACAGGATTAGTTTGGAAAAAAATGTCTGCAAAAAGAGACCGTCGTGACGAGAAAAAGGTATGTTCATGTTAATTATAGTTTTTTTATGAAAAGTGATTTACTAAATATTCAATTTGTTATATGTTATGTATGATATATATGTTATACATGTTATATGTGCAGATAAGATTAAGACACAAGATTGAGACAAAGTATATTGCTGATATAAATTCAAAGTTGACCAAACACCAACGAGCAGCTATTGAACAAACTCCGTTTAAATGACTTCTTCAAATAAAAGAGCCATTGCAAATATCAAGCAATATTATAAGAGAACTAGTTAGTCGATGGTCAATTAGTGATCATTATTTTAGAATAAAACAATATCTTGTCCCATTCACCCCTTTAGATGTTTGTTTTTCGTTAGGTTTACATATAAGGGGGGAGGTAGTTGTTTTAGAAGATAGTGGTTCATGTTTAGTAAAAGATTTATTCGACGAAGAAGAACCAATAACAGTAACAAATATAGTTAGGAAGTTGAAAGGAAAAAAAAATTAAGCATGTTAAATATGTAGTTGACTTTTGTAGGCTTTATATCTTATTTGGATGGACGATTTTTTACTTTCCTCGCACATCTCGCACTGTTCATAGTGTTCCTTTTAGTTTATTAGATGATTTAGAGGCATTAGATAATTATAATTGGGGAAATGTTGTGCACGGTTTATTAGTTAATAGTTTGCATCGTGCTAGTACAAAGTTAAACGAGCAAAAATATGCTTCTCAATTGTACGTTGCTGGTTGTGTGTCTGTCTTACAGGTAACTTTCTTACAAATGATTGATTTATTAGTTGGTATGAAATTATTGTGACTAATGACATTGTATTATGTAATAGATCTGGGCAGTTGAGCACCTGTCTTTGCCTATTGATCCACCACAAAAGATTTGTTTTCCACATTTTGTTGAATGGCCTAAAGTGAATATTCGAAGGTCCAAAATAGAACGTGCATTCATCTCAAACAATGTAAGAAATTTTGTGTACAACATATATAAATTTTCCTTAAAAATGTGGACTTATTATATTATGTTCCTAACATATAAAGTTTTCCTTTATATGTTAGATTGTATGGGATTGGGCACTGTCTGTGGATGATCAGACAATGAAAGTTGTGCAAGAAGCTTTGACGCATTCACAAAATGAGAATATGGACATACCTTCCTCCAGTGGTGCGTCATGTGACTTGCAACAACTTTTATCGGACCAACGTATATGGAGATCTAAAACAGAAGAAAATAAAAAAAGGATCATTCAACTTGAACGTGAAGTTAAAATTTTGAAAGAACAAATCGGGATTCACATGAATAAGTCATCGATAAAGGCAAAGGGGATTGGTGAGGATGATGACATGTATCAATTGTATAAGTTTTGCACCACCAACCTTGATAATCCAAACCGGTTAGTATATAATCAAATTTATTACATTCATTCAATTTAATTAGTATAAAATGCAATGTAATCCATTATTGTATTTCAGTGTTGTAGTGGAAGTGCATGGACAGATATTGACTATGCAGAACTTGCAGATATTAAAGCCAAGGGGTCATATTGACAATATGGTACCCAATGTTGATGACTGCAAAGGGCAATATTTACATGAGTTTTGACATATGACTTTACTGCCATTTTACATAACATATACTGCATAAACAGTATATCAGTCCCACAAAGAAATTCAAATGAATTGCATATCACACTTTAAATAAAGGAAATTCAATTGAACAATCACTATAACATGAAATAAATTTCATTTCTGACACACCAATCCAGATGGCCGATAATCAACATGAGTTTCTACGTGAAGGGTTGAGTTTAACAACTCGGACGAAGTTCCTTCAGTGTTCCCCTGTAATGACGAAGATAAGATATTAATGAACTTACGAAATCATCGCATACAAAATAACATGACAATTGTGGATATAATACTTACAATCATGGTTATCGAACTCGCGGGTTGACTCGTACACCCGTACAAGTCAGCGAGTCAAGCTATTGTTTACGGGTTAACTCGCATATAAACTCGTTTTTTGTTTGACTCGGAGTGAACTTGGAATAAACTCGCTGACTCGGAATAGACTCGCGAGTTTGAGAGCGAGTCACTGAGTTCGTAGGGAGGACAAAACGACAAAAAAAATGTCGTTACCATTTCGATTTTAAACCCAAACAAAAGCCCTAACCACCCAAATCGAAAACCTAAACGATTGAAACCCAAATAAAAAACCCTAATCGAAGAAGAAGAGAAAATTGAAGATGAAAACCAGATCTGACCTCCCTCGCATGTGTTGCGCGTTGAGTTCTGGTCTGGTCGCGTCGCATCGTGTTGTCGCCCTGCAGCTCAGCCCTCGCAGCTCCGCGTTATCGCGTTGCGTTTTCGCCCCCCGCAGCTCCGCGTCATCGCGTCGCCCCCCCCCCCCACCCCCACAGCTCAGTGGTGTAGCAGCTCTGGTCGCCTCGCCTCGCCTCGCAGGTACTGCGTAAGTGAGTGTGAGGATGTGTGTGCGTTGCATTTCTCTAAAATGCAATGCATTTTTTTTAACTGAAACTTTTTTTTTATTCATTAATAAAAATCTAGCTGTTAAATTTTTTTATATTATTTATTTATTTATTGAATAGGTAGTATTTATATAATTTATTCTTTGTTTTATTTATTGAATTTATTTTTTGTTTCATATTTTATCTTTTATTTTAGTTGTTTTTTATAGTTGTTCTAAAAAAATAAATTATTTTATTTTTAGTTAATTGAGACTGATTTGCAATGTCTGGAAGTGGGACTGCTTCAAATTCTTGTGATTCCAATGTTAATGTATCTTCACTACCTAGACCTCCTAGACCTAGAAGTAAAAATGCTTTAGGAAACCGGACCGACATTGGATGGAAACACGGAACAAATGTTTCGAGTAAAGGAAAAAAAGTTAAATGCAATTATTGCTCAAAAATAATCAATGGAGGAGTTTTCAGATTCAAACATCATCTTGTTGGTACTAGATATGATTCTGAACCATGTGCCTCAGTTCCAGAAGAAGTGAAAGTTGTAATGATGAAAGTTGTGGCAGAGGCTAAAGATGTTTCAGAAAAGAAAAGGAGACGGAATATAATTGATAAGTATGATGATGAGCACATTCAAGAGGTGGATACCACTGAAAGTAGTAGTAGTATGATGCTCAAAAATAAAGGAAAGGACAAATTCAGTCAAGGTGTTCAATCTACTTTAAATCAATTGTATAAGAAAGGGGATAAAGAAAAAGTTGATGCTCAAGTGGCGGAATTTTTTTACACAAGTGTCATTCCATTCAATGTTATTAGAAATCCTGCTTTTGCAAAAATGTGTGAGATGATTGGAAGATATGGAGTTGGTTACAAACCCCCATCATATCATGATATTAGAGAAAAACTTTTGAAACAAGCAATGCAAAAAACTGATGTAATCCTTGAAGAATATAAGGAGGAGTGAAAAATAACAGGTTG